TATTCTGTCCATTGGAAGAAGTCCTGTTTCCATACTTTATCACCTCCGGAATTCCGATGTTTCACGTCTGCACTTCCAAAAATATTTCGGATTTTCTTTAATCCCAAAGCCCAGTTATGTATACTTGATACGCTTCTCTGTGTAACACTTTGGACGTTCCAATGTTGGGGTGCCATTCCGGCGCTTTTTATTCAGTGCTTTTCGTTTGTCTTTGAGAACATGAATGAGTATTGGCGAGAACCATTCTGGGTACGGGTTTTCGCAATTCGAACCATCCTTGGAGAAGGGGGCAACTCTTGCGAATATGCTGAATAACACGAAATAAAACGACAAAACGTTAAAGTCTATGCTGTTGCCTACAAAAGTAGAAGATTCGAGACCACAGTTCAGAACATCGACAGAGTTGAGAAATTCCAACATCGATGCGGCATGTTGCTTATATGTGTCCAACTCGCATTCAAAAACAGCTTGAGAGATGATAATGTTGATCCACAAAACATCCATTAATGCGGCTTTAACTGACATCATATCCATTAACTCGAGGTTCAGGTGCTTTTTTGGCATCCCAAATCCCAAGGTTAAAAATATTCTCACAAAATCCGAGACAAAATCAAATAAACAAACATATTTGTCCAGCAACGATGGTAACGAAGTAACGCTATGTATTTCTTAAGTATTTTTAAGCATTTCTAAGTATCTTAGATATCAGTAAGGACGTTTGTGTACAACGCATTGAATACAAAGTTTAGAGTGGGATGTCCCTAGGGGTGGCCTATAAGATTGGAAATACTTTTTTTTAATGAAGCACCCTATATAACATTTCTTACCACTGCCGTTATGTACATCCTTCCGAAGCAGGCGATTGACTATTTGTTATTTGAAACCATCTTAGCACGTGCAAAAGAAAAATTCATGTTGGTAATATTATTAGCTACGGAGGTATGGTGAACACGGAGGGTGAAGAGTTCAAGTTTGATTTTCGTTGGCAGTCTTAAAGTATGGCACCTTTCACGCAGCGAGAGCGATGCACAGGAAGCGCTGGTAAGACTCCAGATCAAACAACATTAGATAACGAAAGGATGAGATCTGCATCATCAACGGCGTAGCTGCTTCTCTTCAACTGTATTCCCAAAGCGATATCATGGGTACCTTCCCAACTAACAATTTAAGTTGCAGAACAGCATATGCAGGCAATCATTGGCTTATGCAGCTATTTTTTGCCTGCCCATTTTGAAAAAGTAGTGTACAATTCTGTCAATACGGTGCACATAAATAGAGCGCCATATTTCATAGAAATTTACAAACTTTTTTTAACTTTTCTTGCAAATTGCCAGTGTTTGAACATAAATAGAAGCACCCTACCACCAAACATGTTCCACACGAAATCGTACTTCACCTACTCTCACACAAAGCTCTCACGATCCTCTCTTATCAGCTAATCTCCTTTCCACGAGTAGATTGTAGGTACGAGTGAACAGCTGATAGGGGCAATAAATTAGTTATCCACCAATCGCGCGCGTATACAGATGTTATTTTTTATCATTATTCCTGTGACCTTTTTTTGAAGACGAATAAATTCCGTTCCCGTTGCAAATAACCGCAATTAGTAATTTCCTACGGTGAAGATTGAAGTTTAAGGTCCGAAATCCGATCAATTTGTGATCCTGTGCGAACATTTTTGGTCCTTCGAGCCGGATTTCGGGGACTTTTCACCTGAAAAAGGACCGATTCAGTGCGTGTAATCACGAAGATAAAGAACAGTGATTTATGGAAAAAGTATTTTTCATACGTGGTCTGCAGTTTTTTGAAGAGCAGTGACCCTAACGTAACACAAGTGCCGTGTGATGGCGACGGCAGCTGCGGTATAAAAAGTGTGACGATAGCAGTGAAGAATAGACAGGCGATATTAGGCAGTTTGCTGCACGCTCCTGCACCAGTTGAGGAGAACAACAATACACACCAATAGCACCGAGACGACCGACACAGCTGGAAACGGGGAAGTACTAGTTGCATGATCTGTGATGGTTTGTGGTGGTTTTGCATGTCACTGCCGGAGTCAAACTGCATGTAATTGAACAGTGGTAAATAAATTGAAATTTTGATTATTTCTGAGTGTTTTTCTCTATTGGGATCGAGCCTTGGCAGTATCTGCAATTTTCTCCACGGAATTGGACGGTTGGTCTTGCAATTGTTGGCTTTTTCTCCTGTTGGTTGTTGTCTGTTTGGTTTCTCCACTCGCTGTTGTCAATCTTCACAGTTTTATCCAAAGCTTCGCGAGATCGCGCGGGACGTCGAGTCGATGAGGAGTTTATTGTGAATAAAAAGTGCACAGTGGAAGTGATAGTATCGGTGGCAGTGAAGTGTCCTATTCAATTTCTTAGTAATTAGTGCTGTGAGTGAGTAGTGAACATGACTAACGATCTTCGTGAACTTCAGAAGCAGGAAAGGAACATTCGGAGGACTCTCGATGGTATGCAGTATTTCGTAGATCATTATGAAGAGGAGCAGAGTGATCAGGTGGAAATCCGCTTGCAAAGATTGGAGGAGGTGTTCAAGGAATTCCACACAGTCCGTCGAAGAATTGAGTTGTTGACGGATGACATTGTTCCTGCAGAAGAAACTGAAATCAAGATATCCAAGGAACAACATCAAGTTCGCATAGATGCTGTGAAGAAGGCGAGAGAGGAAGAAAACGTGCAGCTCGTTATGAAGATTGAAAACAGCTACTACATGTTGAAGGCTGCTCTTTCAAGGTTAATGCCGAAGCCTGATCTTGTTGGAGTTAGACCTGATGCCCGACCAGTACCGCAAGCCGTTCCAGCCAATGGTTCGAGAGTAAAATTGCCTGAAATAAGACTGCCGAACTTTAGTGGACAACTCATGGAGTGGGTCACCTTCCGAGACACTTTCCGTAGCTTGATACACAATAACCAACAGTTGACAGCTATGGATAAGTTCTCGTACCTACGATCTTCACTGACGGGCGAAGCTCTGCAAGAGATCAACTCGGTGGAGATGTCCGAAGTAAATTACGAGGTAGCTTGGACAACACTGGAACGGAGGGACGAAAACAAGAAGTTAATCGTCAAGGCCCATTTGGATTCCTTGTTTGCGGTAGAAGTTATGAAGAAGGAGAGTTACGAATCACTGAGTAAGCTGGTTGGTGATTTCGAGAAACACTTGTTGATGCTGCAGAAAATCGGAGAGGAGACCGCCAATTGGAGCACCATATTAGTGCACATGGTTTGCTCGCGCTTAGATTCTGCTACTCTTCGACACTGGGAGACACATCACAACTCGAAAGAGGTTCCCACATACACGAACCTAATCCAGTTTCTGCGCGGACACTGTTCCGTACTACAATCAGTCGCTCCCGTGAAGTCCATCCCAGTCCAGGAGAAACGGCCCAAGCTTGGAGTGAGTAATTCTGCAGTTCAATCGTGGAACAAGTGCGCATTTTGGGGAGAGGCATTCCATTCTGCATTCCGCTGCATCAAGTTCCTGAAACTGAAGGTTCCCGAACGCTACGACATGGTACGACGAAACAAATTATGCCTCAACTGCTTATCAGCAGGACATCAGTCGAAGTCGTGCGTCAAGGGCTCCTGCCACCATTGCCAACAGAAACATCATTCCCTGTTGCACAATGACTCAAATCAGTCTGTCAAATCCTCCGTCTCGTCGCAAGCGAAATCTTCATCAGCGAACCAACAGCAACACCAGACACAATCACACACTCAAGGCCAGTCTATACCCAACCAAACCACTCAACCTTCCACAAGTGCTCTCCCTATTACACTCTCGCAGAACACTAAACCACTGTTCACCACAAACCAGACATGCACTAGTCAGAACACATTTTCACTGTCAATCAGTAACCAAAACCGTACTCGAGACGTACTGCTATCCACTGCTGTGGTGTGCGTTAAAGATCAGTACGGAGCGACACGACTAGCCAGAGCTTTACTAGATTCGTGTTCGCAATATTGCTTTATGAGCACCAATTTCTGTCAAAGGTTAAAACTTCAAGGATTCCCGGATTATTTGGCGGTCCAAGGAATTGGAGGATCAAAATCCATATCGCGAAGGATGGTCTTTCCCCGATCTGATGATATTTCGTCGTATACCGAAAACATGCCGTTCTATGTGCTACCAGAGTTGACAGCAACACTTCCCGTTCGAAAGGTCAGCACCGATCAATGGATTCTTCCTAGCAGCATCGTGTTGGCAGACCCGCAGTTCAGTGATCCAGGACCCATCGATATCATCATTGGAGCGGAGTATTACTTTGATCTCCTAATCGATGGGCGCAGCAACCGGCCCAACTCTGCAGAACACCGTCTTTGGCTAAGTCGTGTCCGGTCCCATTCCAAATCAACCAGTAAATCCGCCTCAAGCAGGTCATATTCATGTACACTAGCGGACATCCAAGACCAGTTAGCACGATTTTGGGAGCTGGAATCCTGCAAGTCCAGCAGCATCCATTCTGTGGAAGAGTCATCGTGCGAAGCTGTTTTCTACGAAACAACAACACGGGACAGCAGTGGAAGATTTGTAGTGTCCCTACCGAAGAAGGAGTTCGTGATGCAGCAGCTTGGAGAATCTGAACTAATCGCTACTAAACGTTTTCTCGCCCTGGAAAGACGCTTGGAAGCAACTCCAGATCTGAAAGCTCAGTACCAGGAGCCAATTCGTATCTACCAGTTGACATACGGGACAGCGTGCGCACCTTACTTAGCTACCAAGTGTTTGCAACGTCTAGCAGAGCTTGAGTCCGACAAGTATCCCGTTGCAGCGAAGGCGATGAAAAATGATTTTTACGTCGATGACATGTGGACTGGAGCCGATGACATCGACATCACATCCGTTTGGTGAAGGAAATGGTTCAGCTAACCTCCTTGGGTGGATTTAACTTAAGAAAGTGGAATTCCAACTCCAGTGCTCTTCTGGCTGAGTTACCAACTCATCTCGTAGATGATCAATCTGCCTTGGACCTTGATATGTCGAACGCTCCTGTCAAAACATTAGGTCTGCTGTGGCATACGAGCCCTGATTGCTTCCTATTTCGGTCACCCGTCTGGAATGCAGATGCAGTTATTACCAAACGAGTTGTACTTGCGGACACGGCTCGATTATTCGATCCTCTTGGCCTGGTGAAACCAGTCGTCATCATTGCGAAGATGTTCGTGCAAGATTTATGGAGACAGAAGCGTGACTGGGATGAATCGCTAGCAGAATCAATGCAGAACTTCTGGATCGAATACAGGAGAAATCTCTCGGCTTTAGACTCGCTTTCGATTCCTCGGTGGGTGGCGTTCTGCACGGACGTTGCTTCAATTCAAATTCACGGCTTTTGCGATGCGTCCATGAAAACCTACGGAGCATGTCTGTACCTCCGCAGTACCACATTCAGCGGATCAGTGGAAGTTCGTCTCATCACAGCGAAATCCAAAGTTGCACCTCTAGAGGATCTCAAGCGGAAGAAAAGGGAACAAACTACACCACGACTGGAATTGTCAGACGCGCTACTCCTCAGTCATCTGTGCGAGAAGTTCGTCAGCAGTACCGGTATCCACCACACAGCTCACTTTTGGACCGATTCTACGATCGTGATGTACTGGTTAACATCCTTGCCATCGAGATGGCAGATGTTCGTGGCGAATCGAGTGTCTGAAATCCAGCACATTACAAAGGGAAGTTCCTGGAAGAATGTAGCCGGTGCAGACAATCCGGCTGACATTATCTCTCGAGGAATGATTCCAGCCCAGTTACAGTATGAAAAGCTGTGGTTCGAAGGTCCTCTGTGGCTTCGCCAAGATGCTAGTATATGGCCGTCGAATGTTCCAGAAGAAGAAGTTGATCAAGCACTCCTGGAGGAAAGAAAGATCGTTGCACTGCCAGCAACATCGGAACCAGTCAGTGAAATATTCAGCCTTCGTTCGTCGCTCTTTATCTTGGTCCGATTGATCGCAAGAATACGCCGTTTCTTCCATAATACACAGCATAGAGATGAGAGGCGTATTGCTTTCCTGTCGTATCCTCAGCACGAAGAAGCACTAGCAGTCCTGGTTCGACTGGCACAACGAGAATCGTTTCCGATGGAATTCGCTGCATTGGAGAAAGGAAAGTCTATCAGCCCGTCGTCAAAGTTGAACAAGCTCAACCCTATCTTCATCGATGGAGTATTACGTGTAGGAGGTCGATTAGCAAAGGCACCAGTATCAGCAAGTCGGAAGCATCCGATAATCCTGTGTCACCGTCATCCGTTGGCCAAGTTGGTCCTAGACTATTATCATCGCAAGAACTTCCATTCTTGGATGCAGCTGCTTGTGTCCACAGTGCGGGAGCGATTCTGGGTAACACGCATCAGAAGCCTAGCCAACACAGTCATTCATGAATGCGTCCAGTGCTTCCGTAACAGACCGAAGGTTTTGGATCAGCTAATGGCTGACCTTCCATCCGAACGTGTGTCTCCAGCGCCACCATTCCTGAACGTAGGCGTGGATTACTGCGGACCGTTCCTGATTAGCTATCCAATCCGCAGATCCTTCCCTAGGAAACACTTTGTCGCAATCTTCGTCTGCCTTGTAACGAAGGCAGTCCATCTTGAACTGGTGAGCGATTTGACCAGTGAAGCCTTTCTTGCTGCCTTCAAACGATTTGTGGCACGCAGGGGAAGACCAGCCCTAGTCATGTGCGACAATGCCCTCAACTTTGTTGGAGCCAAGCGTCAGTTGGATGAATTACGATTCTGTTGCACGCGGAGCAGTAGAGGAAGGAATAGAGTTTTGATTCATTCCGGCAAGATCTCCCAATTTTGGCGGCTTATGGGAAGCCGCGGTTAAATCGTTCAAAAGGCATTTCAAGCGCACTATCGGCGACAGAGTGCTCCAGCATGACGAAATGTCTACAGTGTTGCCACAGATAGAACCCATCCTGAATTCTCGACCGCTCACTCCGATCAGTAACGACCCGTCGGATTTCGAAGCGTTAACTCCTGGACACTTTCTCGTCCAGCGACCATTAACAGCGATTGCAGAACCTTTTGAAAAATATTCAGCACAATCGGCTGTCTATGTGGCAGCGAGCTCAGGACTATGTTCAGCAAATCTGGAAGAAGTGGTCTGTCCAGTACCTTTCCGATCTCCACAATAGAACAAAATGGACCCGCAAGCGCGATAACATCTCCATCGGTACCTTGATTCTGTTGAAAGAGGACAACCTCCCGCCTCTGAAATGGAAGCTAGGACGTGTGGTTGACATCCATACTGGCTCAGATGGAAACATTCGCGTAGTTACTGTCAAAACGCAAGACGGTCTGTACCGAAGGGCAATTTCCAAAATTTGCATCCTACCGATACGTGACAACTTCGATCTTTCTGCTTCCGAGCAAAATTAAACAGCGCTCTGCTCGTGCTTCAGTGCGACCAGAACTAACCACTGTCAACATCATTTTCCAATTCCGGAAATCCGGAACATCTTGAGGTCTACAAAGTCCAGTCCATCCGTCCGTAATTCGCTGATCCATCATTGGTGATCGGCATCCTGTATCGTTCTGCATGTGTGAAGTTCACGGTGCTGTCCTGTCTGTCATTACGATACGTTCCTGACTTTGTCGCAATTCCTTTCCGTAAAGTAGGATGATGATTTTCAACGACGCGTTGATGGATAAGGGGAATCCATGGCACCCTAATCCGATGTTCGTCCAAACTGGAGCCTCGCTGAGCATCGTCATCGTTTTGGTGGTCAACACATCCGTTTTTTCCAATCAATTCATCCGTGTGCTATGGAATCATCGTTGGTGCTTCGGCGCCCGCGGAGGCCAGGGGGCCTCCGCTCCAGGCAAGTCGATTTATAGTTGGGTTAAATAGTTGAAAAAGCACCCTAGTTCTTTCCGTCGCAAACCCGTGGACACACCCGTGTCAGACCTCAAGTCAGTCAGTCGAAGAAGAAGATCGAAGTCATTCCGTGTCAAGTTCCGGCAGTAGTTGGGTTGTAGCAGTCGTCCAGCAGTAGTAGCAGTGTAGCAGTATCAAGGAGGAGAAGTTAGTCCACGTCATTGACGTCGTGGAACCGGCAGCAGTATCGAAGAAGACAAGTGTTTAGATTAGATTGAAATTACTGAGATTCCAAGGTGGGCGGTATGTTTGAACATAAATAGAAGCACCCTACCACCAAACATGTTCCACACGAAATCGTACTTCACCTACCCTCACACAAAGCTCTCACGATCCTCTCTTATCAGCTTATCTCCTTTCCACGAGTAGATTGTAGGTACGAGGGAACAGCTGATAGGGGCAATTAATTAGTTATCCACCAATCGCGCGCGTATACAGATGTTTTTTTTATCATTATTCCTGTGACCTTTTTTTGAAGAAGAATAAATTCCGTTCCCGTTGCAAATAACCGCAATTAGTAATTTCCTACGGTGAAGATTGAAGTGTAAGGTCCGAAATCCGATCAATTTGTGATCCTGTGCGAACAGCCAGCTTTCCTGAAAAGGAAGTTTACATGCATGGATATTTGCATGCATGGATGTTTACGTCACCAGTAAAATTCAGAATATTTTTCTTTGTAAATAATCTGTTCTGCAGCTAAGATTCTTTATTAGGGTGTCCAGATTCCACGTCCATTTCTAATGAATATTTTAAATTAAGTTCTGAGTTCTGATGAGAACTACAAAGAAATTCAGAGAGTATTGAAATCTGAGGAAATTCGAAAGACAATTTCAAGTGAAAGGCGAGATTTTCAAGGAAATTTTGCGATAAAAATCAAGGAATCAAAGTTTGTTTTAAGGGATTTTTGCTAACTAACTAACTAACTAATTTATTTTTGCCAATTGGTGAGTAATCATTGACGGCAATCGATTATCAGCGAGGCATCTTCCACAACTGGAACCTATCGAACTTTTCAACATATTCGCCTCAAAATAATCCCATCGACCTAGCTGGAATTGAACCCAGACTTACTGGGGTGAGAAAGCTCAAGCACCAGCACTGTCTTAAGGGAATTTTGATTAAGTAGACAATTTTAAGGAGAATTCTAAGTGAATTTTCAGAAAAATTTTGAGGAGAACTTAAATATTTATAACTTTTAGTAGAATTGCAAAACAATTCTGAAGGTTCTGAAATGCTTGGGAATTCTATCGAATTTTAAATAGAAATCTGGAAAGCTGTTTCAATGAATACTTGGAAGAATCATTAAAAATTCGAAGATAATCTTGGGATGAGTTCCATGCATATTTTGTAGTGTTCTGCAGAGTATTTTTCAATGATTGAGTAGCTAAACAGTAAAGGAGCATTTGTCAAAGGTTTAAGAAGCGTTCCATCGTTTTAATGTTATAAAAACCGATTCTCGTATATTACTACAACTGTCTGAAAATAATTGCATTACAATTATTGTCTCTTTAGCTTTCAGTGATGATGGTATGTACTCAAAATTTTGTAAATAGAAAAATGGCTGTGCATTAACACTAATTGTGTTGTTGTTATGTTAATTGTACGAAATTATTTTCATGAACATTAACCTGAACATGCAAATTGAATGAAACTATTATTAACATCATCTAGAAAAATTAATGCTATTATCAAACCTGCTTCTTGATATTAGTGGAAAGTTTTCCTGAAAAATAACTGCAAAAATTACTTGACACGCTTGTCCCTTCAAACGAAGAATTTGAATTGAAAACAGCTGTTTATCATTCCACCAGTTGTTGTGAAGGAGGAACTTACAACCAGGAAAATGCAAAAAACACAAAAGACAAAGCGGACCCAAGTCTCTTATCATCACCCACCGACCAGGAGAGCCTACCTGAGAAGACAGTCAAGCTTCAAGTGCCACCGGGGATGAAAGTTTTAATGAAAAAGTTACCGGATAGCTTTCATCAAATTTTCCACCGACCAGTGAAACGTTGACGGAAACACTTTGTCATGGGGTGTGCGTGCGTGCTATAAAGCGCTGAGGAATTCCGTACTGTTGACGTTTTCTTTCCTTCGTCACCTGGTTCACGGTAGGTATTTGGAGAGGTTCTGTGTAGGGTAGGATGGTGCAAAACGCACCGTTCAAGCAATATCGACAATTGCTGGCGAATGGAAGTTAAGCAATCAAAGAGAAAATAATGGTGTATGGTTCATTACCATGTTTTCTACGAAGATCGAGTGATTTCGAACAACAAAACGATGATATTTCATGAATTTGCAGATGATGATTTTAACAACTGTGGCATGTTTTGCACAAAATGCATTTTTTCGAAGGGATCAGTAGGTCAATATATGATTTTATGATCAGCAATTATTTGTGAAACCTCCAGTTGAAAACAAACACAATCCGTTACCCGGAAAAATGCATCTGAGGAAAAGTTATCGTTGTTTTTCTATAAGTGGACATTTTACCCCAGGGGTGCATTATGGGTTGTTCTTCCTTACTTGCGTCATTCATCGACGTTGAACTGGTGGGAATATATCAGTTGCGAGCTCACCTCAAGTTGAAGTGTACTTTAATAAACAACATCACGTTCTATGCGCTAAAAGAGGAGGAGCTGAACAAATTGGAAACTTTCGCTACCTTTGGCACTTTTAGACTTACCTACCTAATTATTATTTGCAGAAAATTATTGCGTGCATGACTGTTTTGTTTGCATAAGTAATTATATTTGAGCGTTCACAGAGGCAACAAAATATAAAGTTTTTCGAATTCTATATGATAATTTCTGATGTAATTTGGTATACTGCCGCTATGTGCATAACAGTACAATGTAAATACAAATCCCACCGGACTTGGGACCGTTGTGCGAATGACGGCAGTGTGGGTAGACATTTTTGTTATATTTCACATTTTTATCGGAGTAATGACAGTGTTGAGAAACAAGTCCAGTTTTATCAGATGCAGGGCTAACAATTATGTCAATGGCAATAGAAGATCTTACGTGATTTCTACAGAGGTACTTCTACCATTATCATCGGGTGCATTGACGACGATGATAGAGATTTTCTACAAATTCTCATTAATTTCTTTGCTTACCTGGCAGTGTTGTAAAAATTGCAATAACAACCTCATTTATTGAGATTGGTGGGGCGTTATGGGGCGATTATATTATGACATCCATAAGTTTTTTGGTTTACTAACACACACCCCTTTTCCCAGATCTTTTACACTTACTGTCACAAATTTTAGGACTCCCTCCCCCTATCAAGAGTGTACGTCATATTTGAATCGCCTTTATATCGATTACATATTGTTGTCTAATTTTATCGATATCAGATAGAAATTTTGTTTTTATATTTCATAACACGAATACATCACTTCAATTCACCGTACCAAATCGATGCATAACATATTTGATAGAATTATTTTTCCTTCTTCAAGAGCTGCTCATTTGTTTCTTACACCAATCTGTTTAACTGACTGTTAGTTTACTGTGGCTGAGAACAGAAAATTTCCCGCTATGTGTGAAGTTATAATTTTTCAAAATTCGGCCTAGTAACCATTCGGACAAATGACGTTTGGTCTAATGGCCTTCGGCCTAATGATCCAGGATCTGGTTGCAACTTGAGATCACTCGATCAAAAATACACGAAAAAATAAAATTCACTACAGTTATTTTTCTTTTTACTTTAAGGTGATTCCTTGAAGAGACCAAAGATGGCCATCATGATGGCTGATATGTCGTATCACTTAAATTTTTCTAGAGCACAAATCAAGGATACTGTTGCCCCCCGGTAAAAAAAAACTACTGACCCCAGTAAAATAATCTGTGTGTATAAATTTATGCATTCAATCATCATGTATCAAAAATAATTTTTTTAGTGAACTTTCAATCATTGATTGAAATTATACATTTTGTGAC